AAACTGCAGTGGATCTTGTATTTTACAGTACCTTCTCTGCCAAGGGCTAATTTGGTAATGTCACCTGTACTGTACGAACTTCTTCAAGCTCTGGCAGCCTCGCTGTGTTGACAAGTGCAGGAGTTTAAGTTAATGGAAGCTAAGCAGGCATGACCTCCTTGAAATTTGATCTGGATATGAAGGTTATAATGTCTCGTGATTTTGTCCTAGACCCAGGACTGTTTCAGAAACTGTTCTGCCTGCAGTCAGCTTGTGAGCCTTCCGTGTGATCTTGAGCAACTTTGTAACTTTCTTCTAATGCACCATTGCCGTGATTGTTTAATTTATCAAAATTTAGTTTTCTGTGAGGTGCCTGTCTGCTCCAAGAGGTGCCATGTCATGTTAGTTACTCACTTTCAAAGATGGGTATTCTGTTTTTATCCACCTGGCAAGACTACAAACTACATGTTGTAGGGCTTCCTTTTATTTTTTCTATCCATCCTTTGCTCTACACACTCTTGCTTTACCAGTGGCATGTTAGGGTTGTTTTTCTTTTCTCCCTTAGCAGAGTGCATCAGATTCAGCGAGGAAAATTAGGACACAGAAAGGAGAAGCATCTGAAGCTCCCTGGCAACAGCAAAAATTACCTCTGTAATAAACATTTCATAATGCTTTGAAAATCCATTTGAAACTGACCTCACATAGAGAGGTCAGAGAGAAAGCTCAAAGAAAATTGGTTATAATAGAATTCTGTGAAATACTGCATTCATCAGTGGGCAGTAGAATTAAATGCAGAAATACCAAGAAACTTTGCTGGGCTTAGTGCTGTTCAGATTCTTCTATAAACTAATGTAAAACCTAGGCCTCATCTGCTGCTTACATTGGTAATTTTTCTAGAAGCCTCTTTTCCATTAAATTACACTGGCTTTTCAGAAATTCCTCTTAAAGGAAAAAATGGAAATATTGGAGCATGTTTTTAATTTGGCATGTACGGTATGCCAGGAAGGAAATTTATTTATTGCTTATTAGTGAAGAGAAATTTATGTTGGAAAATAGAGTAAGATAGTGGTTCCTAAGGGCAGCCTTTGTTGTTCTGGTGGCTTGTGCATTGGTGTTTTAGAAAAACTCTCTCTAGTATTGGTGGATACATTTAAAGAGCATTCAAACTCATTAAAATTTCACCAAACTTGGTTGAATTTCGTAACAGAGAAATTGCTAGCTTACTTAAAAAGAGCCATGCCAACCCACATTTAGTCAGCTAACTGTAACTTTAGGTGGAAATCTTCTTTAACAGCTGGCTTGCAGTTGCTGCCGTGCATTTTGCTGTGCAAAGGCCTTTTAAATGTTCCTCACACGTGGATACTCCCCTTTAACCAGGATGTGGCTATAAAATGAAGGAAAATTTTCAGCACTGCACACAGGAACACTTTTCCCCCATGTGCTGCAGCTGAGTAAGCCCTGAGATCCGTGCTGAAAGAGGATTGTGGGTTTTCCGTGTTCATCCAAATTGACAGTTGTGCTCATAGGATCTAAGGCTTATCTCCAGGCTATCTGGCCCGTGGAAACAATTGCCCCTGGTCAGTGGTGAATGCAGAAGCAGCTGGCTGGACAATGGCTATTCATCGGGCATTCTGGTGTGTACAGAACTGCCTTCAGACGCGCTCCGTAATGAAGTGGTCAAGATTTTCTGTGCCTCTGTTTCCTGTGAGAAGCCAAGGTCCTGTTTCTGTTCCCCCAGAGCCCAGACCTGAGTCACTGCTGTCTGTTCTGTTCCCTCTCTGTGTAACACCATCCAGCACCTGTGGTAAAGGCACTAAAATTTGTTTTTTTCTATTTGTGGTTTAACTTCCTGAGTTTGGCACTGTTAAACAGGCAGGGGCTGGAGTGCCCATAAATATCTCGTGGGAGATTTGTTGGCAACTGCCCTGGGAGGTGTCAGGGGAAAGAGGAAGGAGCAGAGCTTAGGAATAATGGAGAAGTTCTTTAAATCTGATGTAGTGTTGAGGTTCACTGTGGATGCTGTGAAAGGATAAAACATTTTTCTTGATTTTTAGCAAATAAATGTGATCTGGGTACTACATGGTTATTAAGAAATTGCTTCTGGGAGGGACTTCTGCAACATCCCTTTGGTGGTCTGGCTGTTTCCAAGGTGTATTTTATTATCTTCCTGTGCCTTGGTTTTCTAAATTTTATCAAGTAACAACATGAGGATGAGCAATTGAAACTCTGGATCAGCTGAATAATAATGTATTAATTAAGACAATGTTTACCTGTCTTTTTAGAGTTAGATTTGCTTCTAAAACTTCTTATCAGCCACCCTGAGTTAAACTACAGAAAATTCTTAGTTAACTCCTCATGTTATCCTTTATTTTTACTTACATATCCTGATACGCTTTAATAATACAACTTCACTTAAAATTCTTGAACTTGAATACAATACAACTTGACTTAATTTTATTAAGTACCAAGCATTGATGTGTTTTTGTCAAATTCTTAGACTATGCAACTAGCTGCTCAACAAAATTAGAGTTGGTGCTCTTATTTAATTTAAAGTAAGTTTTGGTGTACTTTGATGGTTTTGCTGGCTTGGTATGTATTTTGTATGCTGAATCTACTGCTTTTTGGACAGCTGGGATGCACATCACTGTAATAACCTTCTCTTTCTCAGCTGTCAGTAAGCTTTCCTCTTTGAGGTCCCTTTTAATTGGAATATAGAAATTACTCACCCAAAATATTTTCCCACTTGTAGAATAAGTTTGCAAATGTCTTTTATGGATTTATTCTGCACATAGAATAAACTGTCAGCGTGGTTATTTCACAGTAGCTTCTTTTGACACAAGGAGATCTTCAGCTTTTCTTCTGGGTTTCCTTTTACCAGCTTTAAAAATTTTCTTTATTGGTTTTCTGTTTGGCTGCACAAGCACCAGTTTTTTCATCTGGAGAAGCTGTGGGTAGTGCCAGTGGGTATTTTGGTGCAGGACACTTATGTAGAAAAACATGTCAAACAGTGGGGTATCTTAAAGCTGGTTCTTGATTTCTCTCAGACTAACACCTCAAGATCTTTAATGCTTCCTAGAGGTCTAATATTCTTTCACTGTCCTGAGAAAATGCCTTTTCTCTTCCTGTCAGAACTGAGTTTGCTGCAGCTGGAATGTCTGTGGTGAATTTTCATGTATGTTTAAATGGTGACGATTTGAGAAAAAAAATTGCAAGACAATTTTTTACAACTTCTCTCACTTGTTTTTGTAATTCTAGGAGACTCTGCAAAGGATTGTCAGTACTCTAGTGAACAAAAATGATGAAATTCACAACTTCATTGACATGCTGAACCATACAATATCAAGTGTTCAGGTATTTTAGGGTTCCTAGCTTGTATCTGTGAGGGGGGCACCTTTGTACTTTTGTTAGTCTCAGACTCTGTGTAGTGTCTAAAAGATGGGCTGTGAGAATCCAGTTCAAAATACATCTTCATGTTGGACCTAGATAGAAAAACATTTTATTTTTTAAGTCTGTCTCTAGATGACAGGTGTGGTGGCTTTGCATTTTGTCTGAAGATGTTTTGTAGAAAACAAAACCTCTTTTCCTTTGTGTGGGAAAGATCATCTTTAATCTGATGCAAGATCTGAGTCTCCCATTAGTGGGAAATGGTCTGTATTTTCAGATTCCTGCTCTGTTCGGCAGACTGAAAAATGATAACCAAGAGAGAATTGTTTAGTCTTTCTGTTTTCACCAGTTTCAAATTGTTGGGCTCAAGTTTAGAGTTAGATGTTGTTGTTAGAGCATCTGCATGAGGATGAGGTTTAGGTCCCTTTAGCCTGTCAATCAGCCAAAAGTTGTTTCATCCTAAAGCTGAGTCAGGTTGGCTGCAGGAATGGAAATTATCCAGCAAATCTTTAAACTGCCTTCTTGAGTGCAGTTTTTAGCATCAAATGAAATATTTTTATTTGGAACTGGGCAACCTCCTCCTCCCTCCAAATGTCTAGTGATCCATATACAATTTTGTGAGGAAAGTCAAGGTTTTTGGCATGGAACAAAGTTGCCAAGTGTGCTGATTTTGTGCAAGTTAGGAGACTGTTAGATCATTCCTAGTATTTTTTCCCTTTTTTATAAGCTGAGAAGCAGTTGCAAGGTATCCAATGGTCGTGGCAAAACGTGTGTGGGGAATTGTGTGACCTTCAGTTTCTTGGCATTGTTTCCAGTGTAAACAGCATTTTCAATTCTCCTCTCAGGTAAACTCCTCTAATGCCATCAGTGAGCTGGATGAGGAGTTTGATGGTCTGTACTCTGTGCTACATGAGATGAAGGGGAGCATGGCCAACACTATTCAGCAAGAAGAAGCTCGTAAAATTCAAGCTCTGCAGGTAAATAATTAATTCCTCCTGAAAAAATCTTGCAGCTGAAAAGAAGCATTTTAAAACTTCCTGTGTTCCTGTTATGCTATCTGCATTTGTTACACAGCAATATTGATTTTCAGGATTGTCTTGTGACAGTTCTAGAGCTGGTAAAGTCACCATCTTTTTCAAGGCTATTGCTACACAGTCATTCAGTGATGAAGTGCAGCCCTGTAAATAGAATTTGTAGTGCACATGAATGTAAGTGTTTATTTCTCTGCTTTCTGAAACACTGAAGCTGGGGGAAACAGGACATTGAAATTAAATCTGGCTTTTAAGTCAGGCTTCAGCTTTCCCCCCCTTGGAGTTGTGGGATGTGCCAAGTGTCACTGTGCACTTGTCAAGCACAGTGAAGCGAGGGCACTGTCAGGGGCCTTGGTTATATAAGGGAATAAGTTGTCACAAATGCAGAACAAATCTGTGGAGTTCCTAGGACTGGTGCCTCACAAACTGCTGTTTTGGTGGGAGCACATCACATTATTCTTTCTGCTTTTGCTCCAGGATCAGCTGAGCCAGTGCAGCCGTGCCCTGGAGAGCTCAGAAGAGCTGCTGGAACTTGCTGTGCAGTCGCTGGACATAAAGAACCCCGTGGAGCTCTTAGAGGTAGAAAACATTGACTGGATGTGTGGGAGACAGGTGTTGGCATCTGTCTCTATTTGAAATATCCTTTGCATTACTCTCCTGGACACTGCAAACTTACCAGCTGTACTTGGAGTGAGGATAGGCAGGCATATAAAATACTGCTCTGCTGAAAAGCCAAGTTAAACATTGTAGTCCTGAATTTTTATGCAATTTCTGATAAAACAAGTTGGCTTTTTTCTTATTTAGGGTGATGGGATGGGAATACAGTACCTTCTCCTGCACAGCTGTCATTGTTAAGCAAACTTGCACAATGACCCAGAAAACGAGGGTGAAATAACATGTATCTAACTGGAAGAATATACTTGCAAATTAGGGAAGCAGTTTCCCATATCCACTGAATAAGTACAGTCATGCTTGCTACAGTAATCCCACTGGTAGCACTGGGATCAGCCACGCCAAATCCAAGGCCCAATTACTTTTTTTCTCTCTACATTTTAACAGGAACAAGGACACAAGTCAGTTTAAAAGAGTGAGGGGGAAAGCTGTCTTCCTGTGTCAGTTTTACCTTTGGCTGCATGTTTGTGTGCTGTCGTGCTTTCTGGGTGCCAGCTTTGATTTATTTGCCTCTAAGAACACCAATTCCTAAACAGTATTTTTCTTCAACTGGAGTTGTCCTTTCTGCCTTGTAGCAAGAAATTAATTTGGCTCTTCAACTCTGTGCAAAACGCAGCTTTGACTTTCTTGGAAGTTGTTCTATTTCAGATTTCTCTAATGCTTTTTTTTTTCCAATCAAACACACCAAGGAAAACTGTCTGAGCATTTGCTGGGGGAAAACCTCTTCAGATTTGAAGTCTGAAGATTACGATACTGAAATCCAATTCAGTGAGCTCTAATATGTAGGATTTGATACTGGTATTACACTTGTGCACTCGGGGATGACATTTTAAGGTAATACTGCCTTGGCTATTAGGCAGCTGATTGTATTGCTCTCCTGGTAGGAGAAGCAAGTGTTCCTGAAGGGGCAGCTCCAGCCCTGAGTGTTGTATATTCACAAATTTTCCTTGGATATTCCAGTAAATCAGTTCAGGAGCAACTAGCATAAGATTATTTTAATTTTTTTCCCCCTATGTTATATTTTTGAGGCTTTGTTCTCAGAATTAATTTACCTGGGAGTCAAAAGAAACATGAGTGGCAGATTGCAGGAGGATTCAGTGTTTAGGTAGGATGTGATCAGGCACTGCTGGGCAGCTGCTGTGGGGTGGGCTGATCCTGCTCTGTCAGTGGCCTGGAAACAAAATTAAGTCAGTGAAGTTAAGCTGGGACTGTCTTGTGGAAGATGTTGAGTTGAGTCCTGGCTACGTCATGTTTTACAAGGCATGGAAGTGAAACCCAAGGATTTTGTTGGGAAGTATCTCTGTTTTATGTCGTGTAGGAAAATCAGTCAGTAATTCTTACAGTAACTTTGTTTTGAGGTAAAGTGAAGCTAAAGTGGAGTTCCTAGCACATTGCTCCTAGACCTCAGTAGAACAAAGAAGGAGGGTTGTGTTATTCCCAAAGTACAGGTTCCTCCCCATTTTTGAGGTAACTCACTGTACACTCGTTGCCCACAAATCCAATATATCCCATCTGAGGCTTTCCATTTCTTATCAGTTTTCTCCAGTTGTACCCAATAAGACCTCAGGCTGTCGATGAATTGGTAGGGGTTACCTCCAGGACTTCTGTACCAGCATAAATTAATCTGTTCATCCCATTCACAGTTTATTTCTTTTATTGATCCCCAATGTCCAACGGGGGTTTCAGGTCACCAAATTTTTGAATGATTATCCATATTAACCACCAATTTGGATTTACAAGGAGTATGCCCTACTGTTTTATTAAATTTCCTTCTTTCTCGAGTTATACAAATGATTCCAATTACTTGATGGCTTGAAATACATCCTTCAGGTCTCTTCAATGTTCCAGAAATTTGGGTGTGGTTCCACTTTAAAAATTGCTCTGGAGCAAAGCTCTCACCTTTCCACAGCCATCTTTTAGCCATTTTTAGACCTCCACAAATCCCACATTTGGATAATTCCAATTCTGTAGCAATCCTTTGCATCAATCCCACAAACAGATTCTTATTCGAGGCTGGCAAATCCCAATCTTTGTAATACTGTTTTAGCTGTTTATACAATTCAGCTAATTCTGTTGACTCTTTTCTCCTGTTCTTTCCTCTATTCTCCTTTGTTTCTTTTTCTTCTTTTATTTTCTCTTTCAGTTTTTCTCTTAGTGCCTGGTTTCCCATGCCTATACTTGGATCATCTCTATTATCATCTTTTTCAAAACAAAAAAATCTTTTCATATTGAGGGCAAATTTGATCACCATGGGGATAAGGAGCTTGTCCATTATATTCCAAATTTTCCCCTACCCAATACTTCTTTCATTCCTTAATACAAACATCTATAACACTGCTGTGATTGTAGCAGACAGAACTAACATACAGGTGTGTCACAAACACAGATTCCATCTTGTCCTTAATCCACACAGGGTGATTGCAATAATCACAAATGTTGAAATTGCTGGGACTTGGTTTTTGCCCTGTTTGCCTTTTCATTGCTGAAACTCTGTCCAGTGTGGCTCTCTGGCTTTGGCCAACTGCCAGGGGTACCAGAATGATCACAGTGAAAATAATCCTCAGGAAATCTACCTTTCTACCTTTCTCAAGGCCCCTTGGGTTGCAACCAAGGGCTGAGATACCAGTCTTCTCGGTAGCAAAGGTAATATTCCAGGATCTAGTCACTGGTGCTTTTAGTTTCCTTGGTACCCATAGCCCCACAGAGTTTGCTTGTCTCCTTTTAAATGCCATTTCCCAGTTGTAGCTGGTTAAGAAGCAATAATTAAAACAAAAAGAACAGGGAAAAGATTAGGCCGGAATACCATAAACTTATATTTTCCAAAATTTCAGGGATGTGCCAACCATAATAAGATTTTACTAATTATCTTTCTGCTTCCAGAGCAGGGAGTTTATTAAATCGCTGTCTCCAATAGGCACACTTGTGTGCCCTTGGAATGCACCTATGATGTGGTATATAGACTTCTTCTCCACAACAACTATCAATTATGAGACACTGGTCTATAATGATATGAGTTGCTCATTTTCTTATTTGTGCTATAGCAAATATAGCAAGAACCAATTGACCTAAGTTTTCTATTAATCCAATTGCTGCTGGAAGAGTCCCGTCTCCTAATCTCAAAGATATTCTAAAAAAATCACTAACAATGCGTTCTATAATTAGCTGGCTAAATACATAACCATAACAAAGCAAGCAAATCAATTGTCTCTCCTTCTCTTCTCTCTTAGTTACTTTCCACCATGAGTTAAAGCAGAGTGTGCAAACAATACATATCCATGGATGACACCCTAAACCATGTTTACCGCACTCCCAACATTTTACTTGTCTCTGAGCTCTTTTAATAACAGGTGTTATCAATCTCAGTTTCTGGAATTGCAGTTCTGTAATCAATTCTAATAAGGTTGCTGGTGGGTGATCTTGGAGGAGATCTTCAATCTTTTTAGGCTGTTCCCACCGATTCAGAAAGTCTTTTGTTCTTTTTCCACTGGCGTTCTTCTGCCTCCGAGCTCAAGGGAATTGCGGTCCGCAGCCACTCCAGGATGCTTAGTTCCTTCTTAATAAATCAGGGTTAATATAAATCAACTTAAATCCCACCATATTATCACATTCTTGGAATTACATGTTGTCAAGGTCTGCCCGAAATAAATGGGTGATGGATGATTTTTTGGTGCAAAAAATAACCAACAAGGCACAGGGGCTTTGCAGTAACGAATCAACAAAATGCAATTTTATTGATTATAACCACAGCTGAACATGCATTTGGTTAGGGAATCTGGGGAAGAGAAGGGTAAGACAAGGGAAAAAGGGAGGAAAGAAGGGTGAGGTAAGGTGTAGCTACCAAAACGTGTCGTTGTCCTTCGGGGTCCCGCCACCGAAGCTCACTGGTGCACGTCTCAGGAAGATCTCAAAGGACGGTTGGATCGCACCCCAAAAATATACCGTTTTTCACTGGGGGAAGGGTGGCCGAAGTTAGGTTTCATGAGACTTTCTTTCCCAACTGGCTCAACAGTTTTTCATGGCAATTGTGAAGTAAAAATGAAGGATTTTCGGATAGACTCTCACACAACCCTGTGACTCACGATTGTCTTGAGGGAATCTTCATCAGCAGAACTCTGGAGTGTCCTTGATAAATCTTCGAAACTCTTTGCACGTCGGTAGCATAACCCCGGAAAAGTAGAGATGACAGGAAAGAGGGGATAAAAGGAAAGAGAAAGAAAAGGAAAAAGAGAGAGGGGAAAGGGAACCAATAAACATAGACATAATTAATATTGATCATCATAACAATTTTCACACATGGTTATTCTTGTATTACAATTTCAAAAATGGTTAATTAATTACAATAATATCATTTGTTTAACAATTTCAAAAATGATTAAAACAAATCACCAATAATCAAAACAACAAGCACATCACAGTATAAGCACTGTCTTTTAAAAGTTGTTTTCTAAAAATCAAAGTAACTTTCTCTAAATCATGCATGACAATTAAGAAATTGTTCTAAAACACATATGCTTGATTCGTAATTATTTTGTGTCAAGTGTTTCGAGGACATCTGGTGTATAGAGTACATCAGCTAAGCGGTGTGCATTGATTACAGTTGGCAATCTGCTAAGCTTTTTCATCATGTTCCAATTCATAACGAATAGGGCTGCTGACAAGATAAAGCCAAGCATAACTAGGATCAAAAGAACAACAATTGGATGGCACACACTGTTCAGGACACCTGTGGCAGTAGGTGACCACCCAAAGAGCGTATCCCACCACCTATGCTCAGCATCCTGCTTTACCCTCTCCATAACCCGGCGTATTTGTCTCACATCGTGATGAACAGTCACCAGAGTCTTCTGTCCGCTCTCCTTGATTTTCTCGAGGATGTCAGCCAGGTCCTGATGGAGCAGCAGTTGTCTCACGAGGGTGAGGTTCATTCCGATAGGAGTGGGCATCAGCTTCTGGATCAGTGTGTAGTTGGATTGCAATAGGTAGTGAGAGGTAACTGGAGCTTTGTAAAAGAAATCACATCCTACAATCTCAGTAAAGTTACAAGCACAAAAGTTTGAGTGATTCTTTGTATCTACCACAACATCTTCTACAAAAACAGAATCACATGTAGTTCTAAAGCATGCACAGCCATTGCCTATGTATATAAGAACTGTCTGGGTATCCTCATATGGACGAATCTCAAAATGACAGATATTCTCCTCTGTGTCTAAACAGGTATCCTGAGCTGCAATTGCATTGCTTTCACAGATGAACCCTTGCTGTTCTCGGACAATACAAGATTCCAGATTAACAGTTTGCCATTTGTCATTGACCTGACGGGCCCATCCCCTATGTTCAGTAGGATAGAGAACAGCTCCGTCATGGTTTAATCCTAATGCAATAACAGGGAAGACCAAATGTACACAGGCATTGCGTATGGTTAAAACAAAAGCAGTGGCTGTGTTTGAAATGGGATCATAGGTAAAGTTCACCAGGTTCCACCAGGATTGGAATTCTCTTTCAAATTCAGTGGCACTGTCCCAGATTATTTTCCGAATTTCTGTGGGGAAGGTGCCTTCCTCTCCCTCTCTTATAATTGAAGCAAAGACTGACTGCATCCACAATTGTGCCTGGATACAGCTGAGGGCTAGGGAAACATTGTCTTGTGTGGCACTTAGTGCATCAATTACCAATTTATGATCATTCACGTTCACTCTTTCCCAATTTGGCAAAATGTTTGACAGCAACCACTGGTGCATCCCCAAGGCTAACAGAGATGACCTCAGTGGTTGCTGTAATTTAGTCAAATCTCTAGTTGTAGCAGCCAATTTGTTCATTAGTACTTCAGAATCAATGCTATTCAGAATTCCCAATCCTGTACCCACAACACCGGTCACATCTGTTGGTGTTTTAGTTTTAAAGGAGCTTCGTTTCCAAAGCCAAGTGGTCCAGCCTTCAAAAGAAGTTTGCAGGAACGGAGAACAGGCTGGCTGAATATCTGAAACGTTGTTCTGCATTAGCAATTTGACCTGTTTGAGAGACCATGCTGGATTGAACAATATTTGTTGTTGGCCAGTTTTCCTGATCACATAAGGTCCAATCTCGAAAATTCTCGGGGTGAGTATGACCGGTGGTACAGGTGAAGTGGTGACAGTGGTAAAGTAGGTTTCAGCATTTATTACAAATTCAAAAGAAAGGCCTTGAGTATCCTTGGCCCAGAGACAAGTTACCTCTGTAGTGTCAGTTAATGTAAAGCTATACCAGCAATCTTGTATGCTTGGGTGCGTACAGATTTGCTTCTGTTTGTTTTCCCGATCTGTAGAAGCACTGATTGACATTGCTTTGCTGTAGTCAGACCCATTAACCATTCGGCACCCAACACTAATTAGTTCACCCACTACTCCTTGAAGCTGCCAGGTTTTGTGTTTCTCCCATTCCTGTCTAGTGTACAACATATCTTCATGTGTGACTACTGTTAGTAAGTTCAGACCTGTGACATTTCCCATAGACCCGGTGGATTGTAGGAAGGCTTGAGACCAGGGCCAGGTGAAATGGCTTCCTGTTGCCTCTGCCAACTGGGGTGTGACATTAGAAAAAGGATTCACACTTTGGGTCTGAGAGAGTGTAATTACAGCACTTGGTGTGGGTTTTGGTACGGTGTTTATCTTAAATGTGTAAACCAAGCCTCTTAGTCCTAATGGACTAGCTGTGTCATTCTCCCAGCGACATGTCACATAAGTGGGTTTGACTAAAGTAAAATTGTACCAGCAATCTAGTGATTCATCATTGCAATCTCTTGTAATTGCAACATTGGTGGTTTTGGTACTGGAAGCATAACTACCAACATGTTCCTGGCGGCAACACAAAGTAACGGGACTTTCTATTTTGGAACACCCCCATTTCTTTGTGGGACACAATTTTGCTGAGGGGATGTCCAGATGATTCCTTCCATCTGCTTCCATAAAATTTCCAGCAATTATGATGGAGGTGGCTTTTTCATGGAGGGTTCCTTCCACCTTTCTGCATGTTACCACAATTGACTCACCAACCGTTCCCATCAGGGTCCTCATCAACTCATTCTGGTCCCATCTCCACTCATTTGGGCGGTACACCTTGGAGTCATGCAGCACTAGGGTTGCCAGGCTCGGGTAATGGCCATTGGGATAGGTTCCAAGAACATCGGTGTGCTGAACAATGGCTTCAGGCCACAGCTGCTCACCAGGGGGTTGTCCATGAAATTGTGGTAAAATGCAGAAAAGTATTAGCAAGGTTATCATGTTTTCAGATGATTCTTATGTCCCTCGGGGTTCTCCTGTAAAAGCAAGAACAACAAAAAATCCTGCCACTGAGAGGCAGAAAGGAGTTTAAAATGAGGGGATTATCCAGCGTGTGTGTATGCGGTGCTCTTTTCCAAGAGTGTCAGAGGCTACCCATGCATATTTATTCAGAAGGGTTTTCAGCACAAGTGGTACCTCGCCCACCTGGGGAGGTCCACTAAGACAAACAATCCTTTTTCCCAGGTGGTATATCTTTTCTCAGCATCTTTAAAACCATGGGAAAAGAAGCTAACAGGCCTTGTTGGACCCTCAGGACCTCGCTGCCAGATGTGTATTGATAGTCCTGAGGAGGCAAATCCCCATTCCACTTGGAAAGGATCTTTTGGATAAATGGGCCCCAATGCCTGATGTGCAGTGGCTTCAAAAATCAGTAATTGCAGTGCTTCCTCCTGAAAGGAGTCCAATCCCATTTGACTCCTTTTCTTAGTAAATTGTAAAGGGGCCTAGCAATGATTGAGAAATCTGGGAGATGTTTCCTCCAGAATACCTACAGTCCTAAAGCTTGCTGGAGGTCCTTTTTGTTTTCAGACATTTTCATCTGCTCTAAAGAAGTTAAAGTGTCAGGTGGGATGCATGTGCTTCCAGATCACCACCAAATTCCCAGAAATTTTACTTCCTGAGAAGGCTTTTGAATTTTCTCTGAAGGAATCTTTAAATCAAGGCTCTCCAGATGAGAGATTATGTTCTGCTGGAGATCCCCCACCTCTTTAATTTCCTCTTCTCCTACCAAAATGTCATCAATGTATTGGTACACAGCTACAGTGTCAGGTTTAGGTATTTTTTCTAATTTCTTAGCTAAAGCATGGTGTGCTAGAGTTGGAGAGTGTTTGTATCCCTGAGGGAGTCTGGTGAATATGTACTGTTGTCCCTCCCACGTGAATGCAAAGCGGTCCTCTGGTTGTATAGGTATCATGAAGAACATGTCTTTGACATCTATGGTTGCCATGACTGTGTGAGCTTTTTCTTGTATTGATGTTATTAATTCGGCACTGAATTTGGCACTGCTGCAGTCAGAGGATCAGTGTTGGCACTGAGCCTACGGTAATCGACCGTAAGCCTCCGCTTCCCGTTGGGTTTTCGGACTGGCCACATGGGTGAATTATATGGGGAGTGTGTGTTAATTATTATTCCTTGATCACGCAATTCCTGAATAACTGGTTTGATGCCTTCTCTAGCTTCAGAAGGCAAGGGATACTGTTTCACATTGATTGTTTTACTGTAAGGCAGTGCAGGTGCGGTCTGAAGCAGCCTAATGTTAAGTGGCGGAGTGCCAAAAGACCACAGAAAACCCTCAGTGTCTTCCCACTGCCTTCCTGAAAGGACATCCATCCCTAGCAGATTATTCGGGATGTCCCCAGTTACCATTTCGACAACCAATTGATTTTCTTCTCCAGGGAGTGTTACTTTGACTAGAGCAACATTCATTGGTTCTATGGTTCCTAAAGCATTAAGAACGCAGCACTGCCTTTTTGTTGGAACAACTCCAGACTTCTGGGCATCTCTATGTGTTAGTGCGGAGATCTGGGCTCCCGTATCAACAATGTAGGTTACCAGAACTTTTTTGGGGCCTGTGAGAGCTGTAATTAACATGTCTCCTGATTTACTTTTTGTGAGCATTCGTAAGTAAACCCAACCTCCACCCCTTCGCTCACCTGTAAGCGGTGGAGATATTAGTTTCCCGAAAGCTCTCTTGGTGAAGATTCACTGTTTGTGTTTTGGGGTACAGGCGGGTGGGCAGTTATGTTGCTTAGGCTCTGTGAAAGAAGTTGCGAAAAAGTTACTTCTGGCTTACTGCTAGTGCTTTTCAGGAGACATGCAGCCAGGGTTTCACTGTCCAAGTTCTGTGAAAGAAGCTGAGAAAGAGTTAATTTTGGCTCACTGGCTGTGTTCTGCGGGAGAGGCTGAGACGCAGCTTCACTGCCCAGATTCCAAGGGAGAAGCTGGGAAAGGGTTAACTTTGGCTCACTGCCTGTGTTCTGTGGGAGAGACTGTGATGTACTGTGTGTACTGTACTGTGTATTGGTAGGAGTGTTTGTTAGTTTCTGATGAGGGAGGGGGATAGGTGCACTGGGCTGTGTGGAGGTGTTTAAACTCCTAAAATTCCAGTTAGTTATGATTTTCTGCAATTTTTCAAGTGGCAAACCATCCATTATGTCCCGGGGGACCCCTTTTCTTATTCCCAGCATCCACCAGCGTTGTCTGTTGGAAATCTGTTTTCGTGGTTCTGTGTTTTCAGTGTTAGGGGTTCCCATAAACCGGACACCTTTTGTTTTTTCTGTTGTTTCCTCCAGGTTTTTTACAGGCCCATACTGTCTACAATAATTTATTAAATCAACTGCTACCTCACTCCATGTCCAAATTTTGCGGCTGCTGCTAGATGTGTCAGATGGTGTTGTGGGTGTCTGTGTTGGTGTATAGGGTGATGGTGCAGAGTCCGTAGACTCAGACGGATCAGTGGAGTTAAGAAATCTGTCCAGTCTATCTATTGGGCTTAAAGTCATAATTGTTTTTTGAATAGTAATTGCTGTTGATTTCAATGTTTCTGGAAGCCCATGAATTAAAGGGGTCATAATTTTAGGCTTCACAGGCAGTTGCATTGGGGATTCAAAGCCAGGGATTAATTTTTTCTCATGAATCATTTGCAAACATGCAGCTTTTTGTACACTTTCCAAGATCTGGTCAGGGGTAGTGGCAATTGCTAGGGGATCTGCCCTTTCCAGGGGATTTATTCCCCCGGCCCAATAGGCTGCACGTTGTGTTAGAGACCAGGCGTCACGCTTATCTCCTGTTGTTAGGAAAACACCATGTCCCCAATATCCACTGGCTTCTTGTTCAGTTAACTTAATCTGGTCTCCGCCAGCGAGGGACACACGGAACACATATTCCGTTTCTGATTCGTGGGGGAGGCGACCGAATTCCTTTTTTAATTTAGCTAATTTGGTAGCGCTGAATGGTGTTTGTTTAGTTGTTATGTAGGGATCCAGGTCTTCATCATTAATGTTATTATATTCAGTTTTAATAAAAGGTCTCAAATGAGGACAGCAATTTTCCCCACAGTTTTTAACTGTTTCAGATTCTTTGTAAGGATAGTTTTGTTTTGCTGCCTCGAGCTCTTTGTATGGGTAAATTTTTTTAATGCAAGGTGTTCCTTTTTCTTCCTCCTCTGTAGAGGAGTTGATTTTGTGTATGTTTTTGGTGTGTTCTTCCCTGAGAGCAGCTCGCAGCATGTAAATTTCATTTCTGTCCTCATTTAACTGTTTTTGTAAAATTTCAACTAAATTTTGAAGGGAATCTATAATTACCATTTCCTCACTTCTCCGTTTACAGCGGTTTTCTATGGCCGCAGTGAGACATGCTCCGAGGACTGAGCAAAGAATGTTTTTATTTTTACCCATTTTGAATTTTGATTTGTGTTGCAGAGAACATATTCTATCAATGACATTTTCCAAATTAAACCAATTGTTCTCTGCCCAAGTTTCTCCGCCAGATGACGGTTTTGCATTGTGTTTAGCAAGCAACGAGTAAAAATCAGCTTTTGCTTTAGGATTGAGATTTTCATTCATTTTGTGTGAAGGGACCAGAAGTATACCAGGGAGCTGATTTGCTAACTCAAGTTACACAATCATACAGACCTCTTTGTCCCCTTCGTCTCCCTAGATAGCTGAAGAAACAAAATCTGTCTGGAAGGCACTGTGTTAATTGCTTCAGATTGTCCCTTCCTTTCCAGACAGTCCAGATATACACACTTACACACACACACAAGTGTTTTCTTTGTGAGGGGACCAGAACCTAGAACAGGAGGAAAGCCACTCAGCCTTCGCTGGGCCACCCCTCACTCCCCTGTGTAGGTGAAGGGACAATATCTGTCTAAAAGGCACAGCTTAATTTCTTCAGGTCTGTCCCTTCCTTTTTAGACAGTCTAGGTACACAAATACAGCAGTAACAACAGTAACAGGTTCAGATTCAACTCAAATACAACAATAACAGTATCAATATCAATATCAGTAACAGCATCAATATCAGGATCAGGATCAGTATCAGTGTTGGTGTCAGTGCCGGTATCAGGTCAGCAACAGTAGTGATAGTAACAATTTCCCCAGCTTTTGCACCGAAAAATCTTTTGTGTCAATTCCGGAGCCTGAGTGCTCAATCGAGCATGAGATTTGGCTTTGATGTGTGCAGTCTGCGGGAGATTTAGAATCAAACACTTTTTCAGGGCAGATCTTTCTCTCCCCTGATACAGACTACACAGAACCCGCAAAATCCCACTGGCTACCAGAATCTTGTCCGTGACGCCAGTTAATGTCGAGGTCTGCCCGAATGAACGGGCGACGGATGATTTTTTGGTGCAAAAATAACCAACAAGGCACAGGGGCTTTGCAGTAACAAATCGACACAATGCAATTTTATTGATAATAACCACAGCTGAATATGTGTTTGGTTAGGGAATCTGGGGAAGAAAAGGGTAAGACAAGGGAAGAGGGAGGAAAGAAGGGTCAGGTAGAGTATAGCTACCAAAACGTGTCGTCGTCCTTCCGGGGTCCAGCCGTCGAAGCTCACTGGTGCACGTCTCGGGGAGATCTCAAAGGACAGGCGGACTGCACCCCAAAAATATACCGTTTTTCTTTGGGGGAAGGGTGGCCAAAATTAGGTTTCATGAGACTTTCTTTCCCAACTGGCTCAACAGTTTTTCATGACAATTGTGAGGCAAAAATGAAGGATTTTCGGATAGACTCACACATGTTCCAACAATATTGCTCCTAATGTCCTTATAGCTGCCAGGTCTGCTAGCAGAAGGGAGAGTGTCTCTTGCTGAATTTCTATTTTTTTGTAAGGTCATGATTTCAGTATCTCTTTTTCTTAAGGTCACTCTTTTTGCTTCTTCGTTGGCCAAATTATTTCTTTCTAACTAATATTCTCTTTGGGCCCTTTAAAGCTTCAAGTATCTGAATTATCAATCCCCCGTTTCTTAACCCTTTCCCTTGAGTGTTTATAAGTCCCCTTTCTTTCCAAATTTTTCTAAAAGTATGTACTACACTAAAAGCATATTTGGAGTCTGTATAAATAGTCCCTTCTTGCCCTTTTAGTATTAATAATGTACAGAGTAACACATAAATTCACAGGCTTGTGCTGACCAAGAGGGACTAAGGGGACCAGACTCCTTTATCCTGAACTTTTTCCCTCTCCACCTGAATGCCAACCTGTGTCATTAATTTCTAGATTATCTTCTTCAGTTAAAGAATAAATTTTAAGTTTTCCTTCACAGGGTTTTATCTGTAAATTTAAGGCTATTATTAGATCTCTGCCTAACAAATTATTCTCGGCCTCTGGTATAAACAATAAATCATTTACTCCAACTTTGTCATCTGTTTCAATTTGCACTCCTTTTATTATATGAACGGGGAAAGCATCTCCCGTAATTCCGATTACTGAAACTTGCTCACCACTTATCTCACATCCCTGGGGTAATTTTGTCACTGTCGACCGAGAAACTCCTGTATTTACTAAAAATACAACTTCTTCGCTCTGAGGACCTACTTTTAGTTTTATTATCAAAGGCTCTTCTGGTTGTAATTCGGTCCTCCTCATTAAACAAAGCTCTTGCCCTCTCTGATTCTCCTGAGAAGTTTTCTCATCTTGCTGTTTCTTGCTGCAATTTTTTTTCATGTGCCCCTTTTTATGACAATAAAAACAGGTGGGTCCCGCACCCTTCAAAGTGGAGCAAGAATTTTTTAAGTGTCTTTTCTTGTGGCGGGAAAAATGCACAGGTCTTGTGTTCCTAAAATTAGATCCTGACATCCACTTCTTGTTTTTCCCTGCTGATTTTTCTATATTCAAAGCTGCCTGCATTTCTTGAACTGCTGCCACCAAAATTCTGGCATCTGCTTTCTGCTTTTCCTCATTTCTCTTTACAAACACCCTTTGTGCTTCTCTCAGTAACTCTTGCAGTCCCCTGTCCTGCCAATCTTTTAATTTTTCCAGCTTTTTCCTAATGTCACTGCAAGATCTGGTCACAAACTGAATTTTTAACAGAACCTGCCCTACTGCAGTATTAATATCTATACCTGAATATAATTGCAAGTCTCTTTTTAATCTTTTTAACCATTCTGCCGGTGACTCATGTTTTTTCTGATGCTCACTCGAAACTTTTCCTATATTATGTCTCTTAGGCACTGCCCTCTGAATTTCTTGATTTTCTTCCCTTCGGGATTCCCATTCATCCCAAAACCGCATTAACATCCCCAGTGGGCTGTCCTGAGGAACGCTCCCCCCCTGAGAACTCCCCTCACGGTTCCCAGATACCTCAAACCCCTGTGAATTTTTCACACAATCCGCAGCCCCTGGGTCAAGGAACTTGCTTTTTCCCTGACCCATTTCTGGCGGCAACAAACTAAGAAATCCCCGGTACCAGGAGAGTCTTAGTTTCCCACACTCAGCTTGTGGCTCAACTTCCTCACCTACTACTCTGTCACACTGCCTTTTCAATCTACTTGTTCCACTCCTATGTCTCCCTCTGCAATCTACTTGTTCCACTCCTCTCTCTCCCTCTTTCTAAATCTATTAGCCCCGTCCTCTCACCATCTAATCACATACTAAATTGCCTGCTACCAACCCCTCCAAGGAAATCGAACCTATTCATTCGCTCTCTCAGTCTCCCTACTGAGTCAATCCGTCCTGCCCAAGGACCTTCCCACAGGTGCCTGGACCAGGGATCCCCTCCTTCCCCTGGGTCAAACCCTCCCGGGGTCCCCACTCATTCACTTTTCTTTCGCTTCCCTCCTTTCCCGGCCGGCCTCCTCTCGGAGGGCGCGAAAACGCGGTACTGGGAGGTCCCACTCACTTCGGGGGTCCGGGACTGCCCAGCCCCCGTCTCAGACACTCCACACACACTCACACACACATACAGCCGCCCCCAGACCCAAAACCCCGTGATACTCACAGCCTCCTTTTCTCACGAGGGTCTTTGTGCACAAAGCAGTTTTCTATGGGTACTCTCTCTCCTATAAGCCGGCACTCTGATGGGAGCCTCTCTTGTGCGCTCTTAAAAACTAATTTGCTTATGCGTTATTGTAAAAAGGACTCTCTTTTCCCAAGGGAGAGTGGTCTAGCCTTGGGACCACTTAAAAGTCTGGTGGGGAGCTCCTTCCCAGAAGCTATCCACCTCCCCGGAGTTAAAAGAGTCCCAGGTTTTGGCACCAAAATTGTTATGCTTGCTGAATTATCCTATAAAAAAAAAAATCTAAACAATATTAAAAGTAGTAACAATTTTAATTGTATAGTTAAAATAAAAAAAAAATTGGATACAATATAATTCAATTAAAATAAAGGATAATTTGGTCCCAATAATAGCGCATAAGCAAAAGGTAGCAGAGGGGTACAGAGCGCAGGGCTCATGGACCCGTGTGCCACCTCACGTACAAGCTTGCCAAGTGAAAATCACCCCTTATATGCTATGTGTCAATACCATCTCCTCCCATTTTCAGTTCATCATATTTTTATCTCCGCCCTCATTATTACCTGTACTGCGCGTGCGCCACCACTCAGTTCGGTGGTTGCACAAGTCTTTGGGGGGTCGTTTTGGATGAAGACCTCTCCTCTTCCTCTTTGTCCTTTAATTCACCTTTGGGTTACACACGCACACCAAGCCAGTACAATGTAAGCCAGGACTAACATATCACTGCATCTACATATCAAGGCAATAAATCCCTTATAATTAGCATTTTCTGGGACCCAACCAGGTTCTTGTTCATTTTTAGCAACTGCATCTTCAGCCTCTTCCTGTGGTCCTTGAGAGCATCTGCTGGGAAGGGGGGGGTGCAGCCCCTCCTCTCCCTTTCCTCTTGTGCATTACTACTTTTAACTATTTTATTCTCAACTATTAATTACTGTATCAATATTGATTACTGTTTCAATTTTTATCAGCACGAATCATACCTATTTATCACATATATAATCAATTTTGTAGCAGGGACAGCCTGATTTTCTATTTATTTTTCTCAGTGTGATTTGTATTTAGTGAAAAATTGGGAAGTTCTCCACTTTTTACTTCAAACTGGGAAGCTGCCTGATGATTCTTGTCTCTTTGAAAGGGAAAATAATTCAGCTGAGTGAGCAACTGGATCAAGGAGCAGTGTTGAAGTAAGACTTCAACAGACACAACAAGCCCTCACTCCTTCAGCAATAACTTTTTTCTTAAGTTTGCAATTCATTTTGGTGAAGGAGAGAGAATTTTTGCCTTTCAACATAGCAATTGATATTTGTCTTTTAAATGTCATCATTTCTGCATCTGCTTCAATGCTATTATTTGAGAAGAGCTAATTGCTGTTATTTTGAATGCTGACATGCAGAGAGTTTTATTATACCTTTGCAACAACAATTTCAAACTTTTGGAACAAAAGGTAGAATAACTTGTTTTTTTCTTATTGCTCAGGGCATCCATCCAGGGTCTGTAGTTCAGCAAGTAAGGCATGGTTAATGTCACAAATAAGCACTTAGTTTCACAGAAAATAGCATGGCAGTTAAATGTTAATGGCTTCGTTCTGTAGCTCTTTTAAAAAGCCATGGATAGTAACTCTGATTAAGAGAAATCTGAGAACACAAAGTCACACTCAGAAAGTTGAGTAATTTGGAGTTGGTTTGGTGTGGTTCTGGAAATCAGTTTTTTTCCCTACCAGATGTTACAGTGTTGCTGTGCTAACCCATGCTATTAACATGCTTCATGGGGCAGTTCATTTTGAGGAAAATGTTAAACTCATTTTGAGCTTCAAATCTGAGCAATGCAGCAGAGATTGTTCCTGGCCTTCTTGCATGTTACTGCCATTGATACTTGCATGGAAATACTAACTACTTTTTCTCTCTTCTCCCTGACATGCATCAAGGCTTCCAGACAGATCAAAGATAGGTACAGTACAAAATCTATCACTTTTGTGTCTTTGAATTAATCTTATCCTTGAAGATGCATTTACTGTAAAAGGGCCATAGTCAGCTTTAATCAAATTCATTGACTCTAAGTGTTAGTTATCACAACTTCTTAGAGGGAACTAAAAACTTCTGTGCTGCTCATGTAGTATGGTTTTTCTTGGCTTTCCATAACTTTAAATAAAAAGATATTTCTGATGCAGGGAAGTGGAGCTCTGCATCAGCTGCTGCTGCAATTATTGTCTTTGAATATATATGTATATCATTAATTATTATTGTTAATAAGCTTATTATTAATACCTCATGGCTGAAATTTAACAATGTTTCAAGCTGACTCTGACCCTTTTAGTTGTGAGAGAATCTTGTTGGGTTTTTTTTGTTTTTCAAGTACTTAAAGACTTTTGCTAGCTAATTTTTCTTCAAAATGTAAAAAGTCTTGTAGCTGTTTAAATACTTCTGGTTACACTAGTACCATGAAATTATTTCTGGTAGCTTCTCTTTGAACAATTGTTTAAAAAGCAAAATTTGGCTGTATCAAAATCAATACTAAGGCCATTTTCTTCACTTGGAAGAATGTTAATTCTATTCCAAGAGTATGACCTTTTGGTTCAGAAAAGCTTCTATGATGTACATAATATTTTGAGAAGCAGCTGACAGGATGTTGTTGCTTTTTTGGACCAAATAGGTTAGCTTTCAATGTTCAGGGTTTTCAGTGAAGGCTCTGATTTACTACATTCTCTGAACTTCTGTGTAAAATGAGTAATTGTTAGAGTTTAATTTAATCTTTGCTTTTCCAGAGGTAAAGATTTGGTATCCTTAACAGATCAGAGGGAGAGTGGATGTGTCAGTGATGTTTAGTACTTTTTGTCAGTAATAAGTATCCTCTTGTGGTTTCCTGAAATTATCCTGAAATTTGAAATTATCACCAAATCCTTTGTGGTTCTCTATCCAAGACTGGTGTCTGAGCAGAAAGTGAAAAGTTGTCTGAAGCCCACTGTTCCCTGGTGTTCTCTTGCTGCTAATAAGAGGATTATTCTTCCTTAAGGAGAGATTTTCTCTACCCATCTGGCTGAGCACTGATGTGCTAGGCAGCCCGTGCTGAATTTCAGAGCATGAGCTTTGTCTTGGGAAATCAATTGAATTGTCTTTCATGATGTTCAGTTCAGTCTCACAACTGTCTCATACCCCAAAATTGCAAAGCTCATCACTCCTTACTTGCATATAGCTTTAATATCCAACTTCACATTTCCTCTTCCTTCCACACTACCAGATATTTTTTGGTTTTCAGTGTTCTTTGATGTATCTGTGGTTAGCATGCAATCTCTCTTACATAGTGGTAGAGTGCAGGAAGGAGTATGTATTAGGTGTTCTAAAGGCACCACACATCAGTGGGTGTAAAGTGCATTCGGGTCTTGGCAGTTGACTTTTGTGGTGTATATATTACTTTGTATTTGAGAATCTTTTTTTTAAAGGAAGAATTGGGATCTCTGTGCTGTCTGAATCAGTGTTACTTAAAATCTGCTTCATAGCCTGGTACCTTCAGAGTTAGAAAATTACATGAGAGCCTTGTTTTTTATTGGGATTTTTTGGTAGTGTAGTTGGAGTACAAAAATGTCTTGGGAGCCTTCATAATAGTATTCAGCTACGATTTCAGGAGTGGAAATGGGAGCTGTGCTTCACAGAATCCCAGGATGGGTCAGGTTGGAAGGGCCATGGTGGTTGATCTGATCCCACCTCCCTGCCCCAGCAGGGTGATCCCAGAGCATGTGGCACAGGATTGTGTCCAGGTCCTGGAATATCTCCAGTGAAGAGAAACTCCACAGCCTCTCAGGGCTCAGTCACTGCACGGGAAGGAGTTCTGCCTCATGTCCAGCTGAAAGTTCCTGGGATCAGTCCCTGCCCATTCCTCTTGTCCCATTGTCCCTACAGAGCAGAGCCTGGACCCTGCTCTGCCCCACCCTGCAGAAAGGGACACCCAGGGCTGAGGCCCCTCTCAGCTGGGGCTCCTCTCCAGGCTGAGCAGCCCCAGCTCCCCCAGCCTTTCCTGGTGAGGGAGATGCTCCAGGCCCTTCCTCGCCCCCACAGCCTTGGCTGGCCCTCTCCAGGAGCTCGGTGTCCCTCCTGCCCTGAGGATCCAGAGCTGGACACGGCCCTCCAGAGGTGCCTCCAGGGCTGGGCAGAGGGGCAGGATCCCTCCCTGACCTGCTGGCAATGCCCTCCCAAGGGCACTCCAGGATCCCCTTGGCCTCCTTGTCCCCAGGGCACTCTGCTGGCTCAGGGACTGCTCTTTGTCCCCCAGGAGCTGCAGGTCCTTCTCTGCAGAGCTGTTTGTGCTGGTGCTTGGGGTTATTCCTGCCCAGCTGCAGGACCCTGCATTTCCTTTGTTGAATTAAGGTCCTTCAGTGTTTCGTGTATCTTGTAAAACTGGTCTGGTGCTTGCATGTTCTAATTCACAGCTTGAAAAATCTCTTAATCCCCTGATAAGGTAATAGATAGATATAATATCAGCATAGTCATCTTGTTAATTTCTGTTTAGAAATGCACAAACATGATCCTGAGTTTGCACTACTTCAGACTTTTCGTACTTGCTGAATCTAGGTCAAGTGATGTGAGGTTTTTTTTGTTTCTTATCCAGGTTTTTTTGTCACTAGTTAAGAGTTTTAAACTCATCTCCAGTCATCTCCTTAGTATTTATTTGCTTAGTAATATGGAACAGCTGGTAGCTCACATCATTATTCTGAGACAGTCACATTAGCAAAACTTTCTATTTTGAGTGTGCTAAATGGTAAACAATTATGTGTTAGAAAAATGTTCTAACCTTTGATCGGTGGTTTGACGTCAGTGGTACAGATTGTCTGATTGCTGTTTGGGAAAATGGGATATGGGACTTGACAATAGGAAATACATTTTGCTAATGCTGCTTTCTTGGCTTCAGTGTCACAGTGGCTTCAGCATTCCGCCTCTCTCTGAAACCGAAAGTCAGTGACAGTATGACTCATATGATGGTGGACTTTGCCCTGGAGAAGAGGATGCTCCAAGCTGTGAAGTTTTTGCCAGGTAAAAACCATATTCAGTGAGTTTAATTTGTTGCTACGTGAACAACTTGCTATATTTAAACCAACCAAACAAAAGAAAATTACACCTCTCGCACTCTAATAAGCAATTTTTTCATAGTATCTAAACTCATGCTTACTCATTGTATGTTAAATTGGATACCTTGAGGATGAGAGTTTTCTAGTTTTATTGTGTTGATTTCTACACAAGACACCATTTTGGAAAACAGTATTGGTCTCAGAAGTGAGTCTTCTGGACCATGTTTTTTCATGAGTTGTCAGTTCCTCTGTACTCTGTGAAGTTAGCTGAGGTTTCTTAAGACTGTCCATGACAGCTTGATCCTGAATGACACTCCAAAGTCCTGCTCATGTGCAGGAGTGTTATGTGTGAAACCGTAAACTTACACATTGCTTGCTAGAGTGGTGACATAGTCTGCAATACAGGTGAGGGACAGTCCACTATTC